TAAAAACAAAAATATATTTTAAATATTTTTTTCTCAAAGTTCCAGAAAGTATTATATGGTAACAGATCGATATTCGTTGTTGAATAGAATAATTCTAGTATTGGTACAAGTAAATCCGTTTGGTCGTTGATAATAATTCACACACTTCCTCTTTTGGCAATCAACAACTATCTATTTTCTATTATAATTATTATTTAGAAAAGAAAATACTTTCCCATCGAGAGAATGTACTTCAGGAGATGAATTTTCATGCGAGAATCTAAAAAGAAGTTCGTTGTAGATAGTAGACTCCAGAAAATGTTCCTTCTTTAGAAAAATATTTCTTCTTTTTTTCCTTCTCTGCTTCTTTGTTTCTTTCCTTCTTCTTCAATAAAGAAATAATTGATCCTCTCTAAATCCTTTATTACAAAAATACTTTTTTTCAGTCTCAAGGAATTCCTTTTTGTTTGTTTCTTCTTTATTGATTGTAATTCTGGAAAAATTCAAAGTTGCATTAAAAGTTGGATTAAAAAAATAGATCCAACACTGTCGACTTGGCGAAAATGATGAGAAATGTATGATTACAAGTTGAATTAATAAACAAGTGTCGTTGTTAATTGTATTGGAGACACGTGTGTTTTAGTAAATCACCACATGCGTCGAGACGCAAAAACGGCGCTCTATTTAAACAATAATTATGAAAGGTAAGCACGAGTAAAAGCATTTCGCTCAATTCAACGAGCGTCAAGCAACTGCTGAGGGCAACTAAAGCTTCAACCAGTCAAGGCTTGGCAGCATGACCTTTTCGCCCCCACCACGTTATAAGCCAATCCTTACGGTTACGAGGAGCATATATAGATGCAAATAATATGCACATCCTTCAAGAGTTAGTTTCAAAAATGGAAACTGGTTCAGCGTGTTTTTTTTCTCCTTTTTATTTTTCATTATTACTATTGTTCTTATTATTATCATCATCATCATTGCTTTTATCGCCTCTAACTTTCTATACCTATATAGCATGGTAAAAAATAAAATAATTCAGTCTATAATTAGATGAATTATTAACCAAATTAACCCTTTATTTTATTTCCTATTCATTTTCTTCTTTTTTTTTGAATTTATTATTTTTATTCTATAACTTATTCTAATTAATGTCTCTAAAGTTTTACGATCGATTTCTTATTATTTTTTATTTTTAAATTTATTTATCTTCTTATATACGAGCAATGTTCTTTATTACTAAATAGTAAGAAAATAATAATCAAATTTGACAAACTAGAGTAATAGCAAAATCAGACGAAATAAAATAATAAAATTCGACTAAATGAAGTAATAATCGAATTTGAATAAATAAAATAAAAGTCCTACTTGATTAATGAAAAATTCGACTAAATAAAATAATAATAAAATTTGACTAAATAAAATAACAATCAAATATGACCAAATAAAATAATAATCAAATTTGACTAAATAAACTAATAGTCCTACTTGATTAAATAAAAAAATATTAAAATATGACTAAATGAAATAACAATAAAATTTGATTGAATAAAATAACAACAATAAGATTTGACTAAATAAAATGATAATCAATTTAGACAAAATAAAATTATAATCAAATTTGTCAAATAAAATAATAGGCAAATTTGTTAAAGAAAATAATTAACAAATTTTGTCAACTAAAAAAATAATAAAACTTTACTAAATAAAATAATAATCTAATTTGTCAAATAAAACTTAAAAAAAAATTTGTCATTCATTTTAATGTTCAAAAGTTTGGAGAAGTAATTACAAGTACAATTAAAATCATTGAAATTGTAAAAGGACAATTAAAATGATTATAATATTGTATTTGTAATCGTAATTGTAATTTAAACGACACAGTGTAAAATACAGAAAAAAAGTATTTCAAAAAACAAGGAAAAAATATTTAAATAAAAAACACATTTGGATAATATTCAGGTATATTTGCTTCTTTCGGTATTTTTTTTCTCTTTTTGGAGACAAATAATTTTTCACTTCATTTATTTAGAAAATTGTGGCTTATGTAGCATTTCGATGACATGGTTTGTCATCCTCATCAAGCTGAAATTGAATTAAAATTGTTAAACAACAACTCAATTTTAGCTTAATGAAGATGACAAATCGTGTCATCAAAATCTATATAGCTTCGCTTCAATTTTCTAAATGGAGATTTATATTCATTTAATAATAATGTTAATTATTTATATTAATGTATCTCTCTATAAATCTCAATTAGTTATAAAAATAGCTAATTTTTAGTCAAATATTGGCTTATATTTTGCTTCAGCAAGTAACGAAAAATAACTATCAATAAATAAAGAAACTAAATAAACTAATAATTAAATTTGACTAAATAAAATAATAAATATATAATAATTAAATTTAAGTAAATAAATAAGTTTATTTTATTTTATAGTTTATAGTTTTATAGTTTATTTTATATTGTTTAACCAAAGGTTTAGTTTCTAAATATTAAAATTCAAATTGTTCAAAATTTGAAGCATTTTAAAATTAATGCACAATTATTCTAATAAAAGAATAAGTTTTTATTCAAATTTTGATTAATTTTATTTTTGTCTTCATAATTGAAGATTGAAAAATTTTAACTTTATTTAATAACACTGGCAATTTTTTATCATCGAAAAAATTTCGATGAGAGAATCAATCAAATAAAATTTGAAAAAGAAATAAATGAATTTCAATTTTCATTTTCAGAAACTTTAGGGACAAAACTTGTGCCGTATTTCAGAGAATCTTAGTTTTAATTAATTGAAATTTTCAAATTTTATTTATTCCTAATTTTTATTGCTAAAAAATTGTCAGTCCTGTCAATAAATTTTAAACTTTCCAATCCTCTAATTATGGAGAAAAATAAAATTAATAAAAAAATCAATAAATAAAAATTACGTATATCAAATTTGATTAACTAAAAATAATAATCTTTGAAATTAATTAATTAGTTTAAAAAAATGTTAGTCCCTCACAAATCGAATTCGATGGGAAGTAACTCGAATTTGATACGTTAAAGTTGAAAACACACACAATTGAGAGATAATCGTATTTGACATTTTTATCCTTTTCTTTTTCTATTGGTATTACACCTTTCCACACGTTTACTTTAAAATTAAGAGAGTCGATCGATTGTAATTATGAAGCCCTACTCTTGTAAAGTGGTACTTCTCTCTTTAGAGTAGGTCAGTACAATGAAGTACATCTATCAGATTTACTCACGTCTTAAAAAATCATCATAATATTTTAGAAAAAAAATATCCCACTTCTTTACTTAATGCGACTCTCTAGAAAAAATGCAAATAGAAATTCTTGTTTTTTGAAATATCCGAAAAGAAATGAAAACCAAAAATAAAAAAAGGAACAGAAAAAAATAATAAAAATAATTTAAAAAAAAATTTTTTAAATGTAAGTCCGGTAATACTGAATAAAGAATAAAAATTTGCAAATCGGTTAATAAAGTTCAAAAACTAAAATAATTTTCTAACTTTATACATAATTTTTCTTTTCAATTATTATTTTCTGAATCTGAGAAAATTATTTAAAAGTAGAGCAACGCTCAAAGTACAATAAATCAACTTCTTTTTCAATTCTTCTCTATTTTATCTGACACAAATAATTTTGCCTCCTGATTTTTATCCTGTCCGTAGAGCTGAAATCTGTTGTTCCTATAAAGATAATCAAAAACTCCTCAAGAGAGTGAATAAAGAATTTTGAAGGGTGTTTCACACAATTATGCAACACGCACAATAGCCTATTAAGATAACAAGTATATCGAATGCGATCTCTAAAGATAATATTCAAAACCTTAAATTTTTTTACTAGAAATTCACTTCAAGCAAAAACTTTATTTTTTTTAAAGAAAAATTCATTTCAGAAACAGAAGAATTTTTTCTCAAACAAAAATTTCCCTTCTCTATAAAGAAAAAATGTTACATTAAAATAGAATATCAAAAACAACTTTGATTTTTGTTAATTTAAAATTTTTAAAAAAGAAAAACAAAAAAGAATAAATATTTCTGCATTGAAATTATTGCATATTTGAATGCGCATGAGTGGAAGCCGTTCAATATTTCAGAGCCTGTACAGTTTTCACATGGAGCAATAATTCAAAGTCTTATGGGATCAAAAGAAAATGCATCAAACTACGATTAATCGTACAACTGTCTCGTGAGGGGACAAAAGCTATTAAAGTTAAAAAAAAATTCTCGTCATTTGTTTAAGCGAAAAGAGAAGATGTTAGAAAAAGAAAGAATAAAGAGTCGTCTAAAAAAAGCCAAGAAAAAAAAGATATTACTTTAAATACAAGGCCTTTTTTGTCAACTTTTTCTTCTCCTTATTTTTCAGGAAAGTTTCTTTCATTTTTCGTAAATGTCTTTCTTTTTATTATTTTATTTTCTCTTATTTTCATCATTTTTATCATCAACCAATACGAATAATTTTTTTCTTTACCTAGAGAAAAATTTTATTTAAATGAAATATAATTTAGTTCAGTTAAATAAACGAATATTTGTCTCAGAGGCTACTGAAGTTTTTGTTTTAAATAAAAATTACATTCGAAGCAAATAGAGTTTCTATTTGAACGAAATAAAATTTATTTTAAACAAATAAAGTTTCTATTTGAACCAAATAAAATTTTATTTGAACGAAATAAATTTTATTTGAACGAATTAAATTTTATTTGAACCAAATAAAATTTATTTGAAAGAAATAAGATAAAACAAATCAAATAAAATTTGTTTTAAACAAAATAAAAAGTCTAGTTGGCTCTAAATCCTACTTATATTTATTTTTACTACCATTTTTATTAATTTAATATTTAATAATTTCTTTCCCCATTGGGTCTCTTTCATAGGAAAAAATAAAATCAAATTTTTTTCAACTCTGATAATAAAAAATTACCAACTTTTAAAATATTCGCAATTTCCAACTTATTTTCTATTTTCGATCGCTCGAATAAATGAATATTTAAAAAGAACAAAACTCACCACGTGTTGAAGGATGATTCATGAGAATTGCTAAAGGACATTCATCGTCATCCAAAATATATTCCTGATGTGAATTGCTATTCGTATTTTCTCCGTTAGCCTGTAAATTAAAACAAAAATTTAAATTCCAAATAAAATTTCTTTCTTTTTCAAAAATTTTCTCAAGAATAATTCAATTGTAAAATTGTTAAAACAATTATTTACTATTTTTGTCTAAAATAATAAATCTATAATTTCAAGTAATTAAAAAAGTGATTTTAACAAAGCAGATCATAATAAATTAATTTTTTTTATTGTGAAAATGTGATTATTTCGTAGGATAAACAACATTTTTCATTTTTTCAATTTTTTTGTTTCTTTTTTTATTTTTAACAAGAAATGTAATAATTCCTTTTTCCTTGAATCATAATAGTGAAATTTATATATCCCCAGTCGGAAATCAAAGATTAAATATCGACACAAATCAGGAAGTTTCCTTGCCGACAGCATTTATAAGAGGAACCTACAACTCAACTTTCAAAATAGAATCTACTCTCTGCTCCGATAATATTTTAATCTCATCGGATAACTAGATTCATAAAACAATATTTCAATTAAACTCTACTTTGAAAGTAATAAAATTTATAATCGAAAATTTTAACAATGCAGGAAAATTAATGTACCTAAGTGATTTAAAGTTTTAAAATAAAACAAAAATTGATAAACTATTGTTTCTGATTTTAAAAAAATAATCATTTTTGATAATAAATAATGAATTGACAAATTTTCAAACTATTGTTCTTTTTAGATAAATATTTATAATAATGATTATTATTTTTCTATAGGAATTAAGATTTTCAAAAATTCAAAATTCATATCTTTTGAAATGATTCAATAATTTGTAGGAACAATTCAATTATTTTTTGGAATTTTTAACTAAAATTATTTTTAAGATTTCAATTCAATTATTGTCTAGATTTTGTAAGTAAAATTATTTTCTAAATGCAATATTTTCAAAAATTTTCGAGAAAATTCTTTGAGAATTTAATGATTCAAAGGAAAAAGGAAAATTTACCTAAAATAATTTTTTAAATTAATAATAATAATAATAATAATAATAATAATAATAATAATAATAATAATAATAATAATTATTAAAAATCAATCATTTAAATTTTATAAAATTTCAGTTTAGAAATGAAATTCAGTTTTCTATAAGAATTGTAAACCCAACTTTTCTAAAATTCAATTACTTTTGGAATTTTTATGTAAAATTCTTCGTTAAATAATTTATAAATAATAATTTTATGATAGTTCTTCAAGAATTAAATTACTGTCAGAAATAGTAAAAAAGGGTTCTGTATCAAACTTCCCGGAAATTTCAAAGTTTATAGGCAAAACAAATATTTAAAAAGATTATAACTTTACTTATTATAATGACAATTGTAATTTTTTTTCAGTTACTTTTTGTTACTTAAATTTAACTACAAGTTCTATTTAAATTATTAATTATTTAAAATAAAATTCAATATTCCACTAACACTTATTTTCTTTTAATTTTAAAGAAGAATCTTACAGACAGTCAAAGCAAAAGTTAATCCAGTCGCATAATTTCATATTTTGATATTAAAAAAACCAAAATTTTAATTTTCTTCTGTTGAAATTGTAAAAAATTTAATTTCGAATATTTTAAACAATTAAAGGTTTTTTTTATTGACAGAAAATTGTTGGTAGTTTTGATTAAATTTTATTTATTATTTTTTTTACTTAACTTTTAATCATTTAAAATATCGAAAATTAACTTTATAATTATAATAATAATAATATAATTTTATTCGGAGTCGGACTTCATTATTTTATTTTTCTAACTAACGAGTGATAACATCATTATTTTAAATAAAATAATTTGTTTTCAATTTTAAAGCGTATTCCAAACAAAAAATTTATAAAATTTGAAATAAAAGTAACATTAAAATTTCTTTAAATTAAACAATTTGTCTCTTCATTTAAAATACGAAATAACAAAATTAGATTAACTTTTGTTCCCGATTGTTTGTCTAATTCTTCCTCAGAATCGAATCTTTTTTGTAAATTGTTACAATTTTTGTTTCCACCAATTCGTAACCAGCGTGAGAAAAATGTATCAAAAGGCAAAAAAAAAATTGTAAGTATCAGAATAATCAGCGTGGGAATAATGTATCAAAAGGTAAAAAAAATATTTGTAAATAGAACAGAAAACGAAGTTAATTTGTGTATAAAAAAAGTATCGAAAAAAATTATAATTGAATGTAGCGTAAATAATGAAATTAACGCCATAGTGAAGATTATAAAATCGCTACGTGCTTATAGCTGTGGGAATACAAGTTTTGTGAAATATTTCGAGGGACGGCTTTTGAAAATTCAAATGGGAAAAACTCACCTGAACAAGACAGTATTGTTGGGGATCGTCTTGAACATTATATTTGGAGAGCATTTCCCTAACTACCTGCACCGCTGAATCTCTAACACTTAGAAGCAACGTCTTGTAAGGCACGTCCTTGCAAAGTGCTTCACCATAAATCTTCAATGTCCCACCAGTATCGGGTCCTCCGTCCTTACTACGGAATTGTTGTAGTTTTCTTTCTAATTTCTGCTGTCTGCGACGTCTCATCACAGCTTCTGGATTTGAAATACTGCGAGTGAAACTCGTCTCAGGAAGTTCTGTAAAAATTATTTTACTTTAGTTATACACATATTTATATTTATTTTATATTTTATTTATATTTATTTATAATATTTCTCAAATTTCCTTTCCTCTATTTCCTCTAAAGAAATAAAATTTTATTCACTATTAATTTAAAATTATTATAATAATTTTATTTGTAATTATTACAATTATAATAATTTCATTTGTAATTATAAGCAAATAGATATGAATCTATAAACTAAGATTTCAACAATGATTTGTGAACTTGAATTTTTCGACAGTCGAACAAATTTGTAAACTAGTTGAGGAATTGTTTAGACAATATAAAGCTATTATTTAAACAGAACTTCCGATTACCAAATTATTGATTCAAGCCGGAATCTACCTTAGTAACGTGGTCCGTTAATCGATAAAGTCTTTTTTGATTTCAAAATGATAAAATTGATAATTTAAATACACTATATACGAAAAATGTCCTATATTCAAAATAATTAAATTAGTCCAATTCTACAACTTTCCCTCAATTAAATTTAAAATAAGCAAAATTATTATTTTCAGTACAATTTTAGTCTACTAAAAAATTCGACTTAAAATAGAAATTACATTTCATTAGTAAATTCACGAGGAAGCAAAATAAATTTTAAACCATAAATTAAAAAATGTGTTAAAAAGATAAAAAATAATAATTAATAATAAAAATTTTGTTAGTAATTACAGAAAATTTATCTCCGGAAAGAGAAATTTTATGCTAAGAATTATTAGAATAACTAGCCAAACTATCCGCGCGCAAGCGCGCGGGAATGTTCTACTGAACTGTTTATTTTAAACAATTGGAAGGCAACTTTAAAGTTTACAAAAAAAAATTTAACAAATTCGAACTTCCAATTTTTTTTAAATTCTAATAATTTTCCTCAATGGTCTCAATTTAAATAGAATTTACATTACTGGACCTAAACTATGGCTAAAACAATTCCAATTAATATCTGGGTCATAAAAATGAATTTAATTCACAATAATAAAAAAAAATCCACAGGCGATAATCGTCAGGAGGTGAAAAATTATTTTTTGAGCGAATTTTATCTTTTGTATTGCTTATTTTAAACAATATAAAGCCATTTTAATTTAAATACTTTTTAAAGAAATAATAATAACACACTGAAAAATTTTTTACTTGAAACAGCGACAATTTTCTCTAGAATAGCGAAAGTATTAATTGAAGCACTAAATTAAAAAATTAAATTAAATTAACATCAGATTTTGTAAAGTCAAAATAACGAATTCAACATAGACATTAATTATCTCAAAACTTTACCAAATTCACCTCAGAAATCATTGAATCCGATAAATTAGAAAAAAGTCATACAATGGAAGTTCTATTTTGAATTTCTAAAATTTAATGTTATGTTTACCGCATTAGAAATAAATTTCAAGTGAATCCGATAAATTTTGTTACTTTCTTGTAGTAAAATATAGTCAAATTGAATCTCGCAAAAATTGTTACATTTTATACAAGTTTTATTTCAAAAATAATTTTGATTACGAACATTTAAATTATTCTAAAAATTGAAAAAATAATTATTTATTTAGCTTTTTAAACAAAAAATTCCGTATCTTTCGAAACTAAAATAACTGTTAGTTATTTTTACAAATAAAGTTTTCCACAAGAATAAAATTATTTTAACTAATAACATTTTCATAATATTTATTATATATCGAAAAAATTAATTATTATTTAAAACAATGTTCATAAAATTCTTATGAAGAATTCAATTACTTTTAAAAATAACAAAATTTTGCACAGAAATCCAATTCTTTTTAAACATTTTAATAAACTTTTCCGCAATAATTCTATTATTTTCGAAAATAATAAAATTTCTCAAAGGAATTAAATTATTTTTGAAAATTTTAATAAAATTCTTAGCAACTATTCAATTATTATTATAAATAATTCTTCAAAAGAATTCAATTATATCGATAAATAAGGAGATTATTCCCGAAAGTTAATTTATTTTGAGGTATTTTAATAAAATTCTTTGCAAAATTCAATTATTTTCATAAATAACAATAGTCATCACAATAATTCAATTATTTTTAAAAGTAATAAATTTCTTCAGGGAAATTCCATTATTTAAAAAAATTTTAATAAAATCGTTCGCAAGAATTCAATTATTTTCATAAATAATAAAATGTTTTTTAGGAATTCAATTATTTTCAAAAAAATTTAATAAAATTTTTACAAACTTTTCACAATTCAATGATTTTCAATATCTACTATTTTCATAAAATTTCCAAACAGAATTCAGTTATTTTAAAAAAAATTTTCATGAATAATAAAAATTTTTCAGGAATTCAATTACTTAAATTAGAATTTGCGTAAAATTAGTCGAAAGAAATCAATTATTTAAAAATTTTTATAAAATTCTTCTCAAGAATGACATTATTTTTATAAATATTAGTTAAATTCTTTCATGAATATTAAAATTAATTGCAGGAATTCAATTTATTAACAGGATAAGAAAAAAGTAAATATTTTTGATGAAAATTAGGAAAAGTCAGGAATAAAAAATACAAATTATAAAAATAATTATTTAAAATTAATAACTGATAATAATATAATAATAATTTTATACTTGGGGAATCTAGAAGTAAAAATAAAAATGAATTAAAATAAATTTGATCAAATATCTTTTAACAATATTATATTAAAATAATAAATAATATTAAATTATGGACACCAACCTTTAGACTAAATGATAAAATTATTTAGTTAATTAAAAATTTAATTCAATATAATAAATTGTATATAGAATTAAATATTGAGAACAGGAATGCGTCTTGTAAATTCTACATAGGTACCTAACCGTTAAAAAGTTTGACATTAAAAAAAAATAAAAAATGCCAATAACCCACAAAAATTAATTTCTTCAACATTTGCTCTGAAAGGAGTACTTTTCTTGGTAAAAAAGTGTGGCGAAAGTAGAACTTTTCTCAATTGCTCTGAAGAGCGTGGCGAAAGTAAAATTTGGCGTGGCGAAAGTAATTTTTAGCGTGGCGAAAGTAAATTTGGCGTGGCGAAAGTAAATCATGAATTTATTCTTTTTTCTTGTTCTTTGACCGAGATTTACTTTGTATCTAACTTCTTCCCCACTCAAAAAATTCGTCTTTTATTATATTAAACATAAGCACACGTTAAATTAAAATTATACGAAACTCACGAAGAAACCTTTCCTCGCAAGGCGTTGGAGAAAACGTAGTGCACAACACGTGGTGAAAGAATGATTTTTCGCCACTAGTTGTACAATGTACTATTTCAAAACAAACAAATGAATGCAGAAAATTTGCTAACGGAAAGGAAACTTACGATTATTATAATGTATGTATTGGTGAAAAATTAACAAACCAGTGTAAAGTTTTTCGGCAACTCCATTTTGATCAATTGGCGCAGTATTTTCATCTTGTTCGCAAGCACTTTTCATTCGACTGAGCTTCTCTTGTTTCTTTATTTGCTTCTTCTCACGTTTACTCAATTTTCTTCGAAAACTAGTGCCCTCAGCAAAACCTACTCCTTGAGCATTTGTTTTGTCATCGATTCTCCGAAGTAAAAATCTCCCTTCGCGATCATCCACGTGCCAATTTAATTGAACCAATAGAGGCTTCTCCTCCAAACCCAATTTTCGTTCCTCTGAAATTAAATACGTTTATTAGATATATATTTAAATTATTATTATTAACTACCAAATGATACACCCGACAGCGCACAAATTCCGGCTTTCAATTTATTATTATTTTATTACTATTTAGGATTATTATTTATTATTACTAAAATTATGCTTGTTTACTTTTAAATATCAACAATTTTTGAATAATTTCAGAATCTAAAATTAAAAAATTCACTAATTAACTAATTCATTAATTGTTATTTATTATTTTCAAACATTTTTATTAAAATTCTTCGAAACGAGTCAATTATTTTTCAAAATTTTAATAAATTTCTAAGCAATAATACAATTGTTTTCGTAAATAAAAAAATTTTTCTCAGGAATTCAATTATTCCTAAGAATTTTAAATTTCAATTTTAAATCAAATTCAAGTATTTTTCAAAATTTTAAAACAATATACAATTAAATTATTTACCATTTTAATTAAATGAATTCCACGATAGAATTCAATTATTAAAAAAAAATTAGTTTCATTACTTAGAAGAATTCTATTATTTTTAGAAATAATAAAATTTTACGCAGAAATTCAATCATTTTTATTAATAATAAAATTCTTTGAAATAATTCAATTATTTTTAGAAATAAATAAAAAAAGAATTATTTAAAAAAAATTTAACGAAATTAATGATCTACAAGTTTTAAAGGTTCAAAAGTATTTTTTATTAAAAATATTTTTACAAATTATTACTGATTGCAATAAAAATAAAAAAATCTAAATTTTACATTTAAGAGTGTAATAATTAATTTTTTTGATAGTGAAGCATTATTATCGTAATAAAAATTTAATTTGAAGAAGAAATAAATAAACTTCGATGATATGAACGTTCAGAATTTTAGAATCATAAAATTCTTCGAAACGATTGAAAAATTTTGAAAAATTTTGATAAAATTCTTCGATACAAGAAAATTATTTTGAAAAATTTTAGTACCATAATTCTTTGCAAAAATTTAATTATTTTCAAAAATTTTGATAAAATTCTTTACAAGAATTCAATTATTTTTAATACAATTTTAATTAAATTCCTCGGAAGAATTCAATATTATTTATAAAAATTTTAATAAAATTTTTTTTAAGAATTCAATTATTTTCAAATTTTAATTAATCAATTTGAATTCCTCGATAGAATTTAATTACCTATTTTCAACAAATTTTTAATAAAATTTTACGCAAGAAGTAAATTATTTCAGATTTAAAATTTTTAGTTACAAAAATGTTACTTTTTAATTTTTATTTTAATAAATAAATAATATTACAAACACTAAAAATCTCGTCACTATTATAATATTCTCTTCAGTAAAATTCCAAATAATTATTTTTTCGTAAATTAAAGAAATAAATAAAATCTAAATAAATAAGTTCTCAACAAAGAACAAGTTGAAAATTATTTTTTAAATAAAAGAAAGCGGTATTTTTCAAGAAATATTATTTTATATCATTAGTATAATAAAAAATAAATAGAACGGAAATTTTCTAATGCAGCAATAAAATTATATTTTCCCGTCATTATAATCATTAAAGTTATTAGTATCTCTCGTTTAGATAAAAATTTATTTCTCCTTCGTTTATATATTATATATATACTTGTTAATTTCAGAATTTCATTAAAGACAAAAATTTCAATTATGAATTAATAGTAAAATGCAAAGAGAACTTCTCTCTTTTCTTTTTAGCTGATAATAATCAGTCGTACAAAAACTGAGAATCACTTCCAATTAAAGAATTTTTTCCCTGACCCTCAAAAACCGGTTTTATTCCACCAGGTTGTACATTACTTTTGAAAGGTGGTGGCCGAGATCTCACGTCAAAATATGAATAAAAAATTTTCAGAAATGTCTCACTTGAAAAAAAAAAATAAATGGTGAGACATTTTTTCATTCTCAACAGAGTAGAGAATGAAGAATTTATTTTGAAGCGACTCGAAACTTATGCGATTTGAATTCTTTATAATAATAATAATTATTATATTTACACCCCGGGAAAAATTTTATTTAAACCAAATATAATTTTTTTGAGTTAAATAAAGTATATTCATCCATTTTCCTACAGTTTCGAACGTTCAAATGAACAAGAATATTTTTTTACTTTTTAATTTGTGCTTCGTTAGAAAAAAAATTTTTTATATTAAAACAATTTAATTCTTAACTAAGTATTTTAATTATTTATTTTAATTTAAATTATTTTTGTTTTTTGTATAGTAATTTTCAAACACTTAAGCAGAAAAAAATTTTGTTTATTTGAACGTTCAAAACTATAGGAAAATTATTTGTCTTAGAGCCTACTGAATTCAATTCAGTTTGAACCGAATAAAATTTATTTGAAACAATTCAAATTCAATAAAACAAAAAAATAGTCTAGTTGGCTCTGAGTCAAATAAACCTTTGTTCCGGGTGTACTAAATAAAAAAACAATATTGTACGTTGTATCTGTAATAAATTATATCAGTTCAATAAAATTACCTCCATTTTCGTGAATTTCATAAAGAGCATATTCAGGGACGGATAACATTCGCATATCTGGTCGGAATTTTTCGATAAGAGTTTCTATAACTGCTTGACTGGTTGCGTCCGAAGCTACCCTTATACATTTTGTAGCAACTTTTTGCCCGCTGTCTTGAAAATAAAATCTCATCACCCCATGGAACTCCAAATCCTAAGGAAAATAAAAAAATGTGTGAATATTATAATCAAATATAATATATAAAAATAAAAATAAATATTTGACAAACTGTGAAATGAGTATTGTCAAATTATATATTAAATAATATTCAGGATGGTCACAAGTTTCAGATTTTTAATTTCCCTGACATTTTCCTGACAATTTACTGATCTTTTTACAGGAAAGTATGAAAGTTTACGGAAAACGAGTAAAATTTATGAATTTTAATAATTAATTTCTTGTGAAGAATTTTATTCAAATTTTTTTAAATAGTTGAATTTTTCAAAATTTGAAACAAATTTTTGAAAATAATTTTAATGAAATTTCATTAAAAAAATTGAAAATCATTGAAATCTGACAAAGAATTAAAAAAAAAAACATTTTTTTTAAGTAATTGAACTCCTGTGAAAATGTTTATTTTTGAAAAGAATTTAAATAAAATTTCTTCAATAATTAAATTGTTTTGAAAATTTTTACAAAGATTTTTGCCAATAATTGTATTCTATGACCAATTTTATTATAATTTTTCAAATTTATAAAGCATTTTATCAAAATATTTTTAAATAATTGAATTCTCAAGAAAAATTTTATTATTCATGAAAATAATTGATTTCTGGCGAAGAATTTTATTCAAATTTTTTTAAAAAATTGAATTCCCATAAAAAATGTATTATCTGTGAAAATAATTGAATTCTTAAGAAGAATTGTATTATAATTGAATTGTATAGGAAAATTTTATTAAAATTGCAATTTTATTAACTAAATCTTGTAAAGAATTTTGTCAAAATTTTTTATAATATAATAGAGCTTTTAAAATAATTTTATTTAAATTTTTCGAAATAATTGAATTTCTTAGAACAATTTTTTTCAATTCTCTGTATTGAAAAATTAAAAATAATTGATTTGGTGCGAAGAAATTTATAAAAAATTGGCAAGTAATTGAGTTCCTGTTAAATTTGTATTAAAATTTTGTTTAAATAATAGAATTCTTTTGGAAAATTTTATTAAATTAGTAGATATTAAAAATAATTGAAATTTTGCCAAGAATATTATTAAAATTTTTCAAAATAATTGAATTTCGGAGAAAAATTTTATTATATTATTTATAAAGATAATTGAAATTTTGACGAGGATTTTAAAACATTTTTCAACATAATTGAATTTATGCGAAGATGTTTATCCCTTTTAAAAATAATTGAATTTCTGTAATCAGTTGTTCTTAAAATTTCTATTTAAATTCAAACAAAAAAAACAAAAATTCATAATTTTCTTATAAATTCTAAAAATTCAATTTTTCCCAGTACTTTTAATAAAATTCCCTGACTTTTCCCTGAATTTCCTGACTTCCCTGACTTGTGGCAACCCTGTACTGTATTTAAATACAAATTAATAAAAACTTTTAAAAATAATTGAAATTTTGAACAATATAAATAAAAATATAATCGAATTTTTAAAGAATTTTATTTATAATATGACCATGATTTCTCCGAAATTTAGAAAAATTGAAAAAAGTACATTTTTATCAATTTTTATTTACTTTGTTGAAAAATAATTGAATCTTAAAAAACTATGATAAAACAATAAAATTCTAAGAATTAGTTTTTAAAAATATTATAATGTAATTTTTTGAAAATAATTGAATTTCTTAAAAGAATTTTTGTATAATTTAAAGAAACAAATTAATTTATTGAGGAATTTTAATTAAAAATTTAGAACATGATTTTTTTCTCCCAAATGTTAAAAATAATTCTAAAATGTTATTATTTTTTGTATATATCTGTATTTTTGGAAATATGGAATTGAAAATACTGAAAACATTGAATTTTAAAAAACTAGAAGATAATTTTCATTAATTTTCATTTTTAAATTTACATTTGAAGATTTTTCATTAAAATTTTTGATAATTCAATTACTTTCAAAATTTTGAATTAAAACTCATCAAAAGTTGATTTTCAAAAATTGCAACAAAATACTTGAAAAAAAGTTAATTATATTTTCAATTACATTTTACAAAATTTCAATTATTTAAAACGATTTTTATTAAATTTAATTATTTTGAAAAATGATTCAAAAATAATTTTTGAAAGATTTGTTTATAGTTATTTTTTGCACTATAAAAATAGAAATAATTTGCATTTTATACTAAAAAATATGGTATTTTGTTGCAATATTTGGAAGAAAAGTCGAAAAAGTCGCAATTTTTGAAAATAAATCGAAAAAAATCTCAATTTTCTTAGGGGTCGTCCATATACCACGTGGACACTTTTTAGACACTTTTTGACCCCCCCTCCCCCCCTCGTGGACAATCGTGGATTTTTGACGAACTCCTCCCTCCCCCCCTGATTGTCCACGTGGACAATCGGGTTTTTTATTTTAAAATAGTGAATAATAAAAAGATATTTAATAAGAAATACAATTAAAAAATTCTTTAAATTTTTTTATAACAAACTTCTTTAAAATTCAATAAAGATTAAATTATCTTAAAATATTAAATAGGTAAATACCATTTTTAATATTATAGAGAGGACTTTGGCAGCAATATATCTTCAATTATTATATTAGTAGAAATACTTAATCTCTTCTGTAACAAATCTAAAAATTTTCTAAAATCCAATAGCTTTGAGCCTTCACATAAACAATAATAGAAATTATTTTTTTTAGAATTTGTAAGAGTTTGTAGAGGTTGCTTTGTATTCCTAATTGTCAAATTTGCATATATTCATATTTGTGCATTTACGATAATGATTTTGTAATATAAATTAAAAAAGAATTTGGCGTTTTTTTGACAGTTAAATAAATTTCGGATTACAAATATTGTCTGATCACAATCTAATAATAATCTAATAATAAAGTTGAATATAAAGAAAAAAAAGATATAAAATTAAACTTTTGTGTCCACGTGGACATTTGTATTGACCCCCCCCCTCCCCCCTCGTGGAAAATCGTGGATTTTTGGCGAACCCCCCCTCCCCCTAAACTGTCCACGTGGTATATGGACGACCCCTTAATTTCCCTGACAAAAAATGTTTTTTCCTGTCATTTCCCTGACGTTACTGACATGTAGCCACCCTGAATATTAAATTAAATATTAAATAATATTATATTAAATACTAAATAAATATTGTTTAATTATTCACCTCATTAGGTTCTGAGAGTTCAAAAAGATCCAGGCGATTGGCATTCCATTGTTGAATAACGCCACGAAGAGTTTCGCGTTCGGCTCTTCTAATCGCCGCTTCCGCAGCCATCCTGGAAAAAAAACCAATATTAACATCAAATCCAATATTTTTCGAGTGATTTATTTAATCCTACGATAATAAAAATTCCTATCCTTTCCTAAAATTTCTATACACATTTTTTAATTTCTTTCAGTTTATGCCCAAGTAGAAATGTAATACTGGCATAGTACTGATCTTGTACTGACTGCCAGTATTGCAGTACTGACTCCAGTACTAAGTCAGTACTGGGAAAACCCTGGCTGGTAACGCTGTCCAGTACTGATTTTTACCGGCGGTCAGTATAAGCTCCTTATTTAATTATTAAAGCATGGGGAGTAATTTATTGAATACTAATAATTATTATTAGTATTAATTATTATTAATTAATTATTAGAATTCCTTTTATTAAAATAAGTTTAAAAAAAATATTTTTCTTATTTTTTCATTATTTATTTAAATCTTATTTATTTAAATTAATGACTAAATTATTATTATTACTGGTTATTAATTATTTAAACTTATACTTTATGTAACACTGTTAAGAATTATACACAAAACACTTAAAACTAAGACGGAAAAATATCGCACGCACGGGGGACCGAACCCTAGACCTCGAGGACGCAAGTCGAATACACATACCGCATAGCCACGCAAGCTCGGGAGTTATCTCGCATAAACTTCCTTTTGAATTGTGGGACCGATATATACAGTGCTTTAATAATAAATCCACTGCATATTATATTTATTTCAAGAAAAATTATTATACATATATCCTTATATACATTTTATCAAGTCATTATGTAGTAATTAATAGATACATCATAATAATATGGTAAAAATTATTAATATAATTATTTATTTATTATTTATAATCCAATTATTTATTAAAATAATAATAAAAAAAATTTATTTAAGAAAAATTTTTGTTAAATAAATAAATAAAAATATATATACAGCTTTAAAAAATAAAATTTTTTTTATTATTAATAATACGTAATAATTCTAAAAATAATTAATTAATAATAATTTATTATTATATTATTAAAATATATCTATTAGTTAATAATAAATTAATAAAATGTTTGATATTATTGTTGATGAATAATGTTTTTACAAATCTTTGCAAATATTTTAATTGTTAATAAATCAAACGATGTTTAATGTTTAATTACATTATAACAAATTTTGATTGTTTTTTTAACTCCTTCGCAGTACTGATTTAGTGTTAAGCCAGTTTTCTGCCAGTACTGATTTTAGAACTTTTCTAACTCCGACATAGTACTGATTCGGTTTTGGAGTCAGTATACTCCCAGTACTGATCGGGTTCCGAAAGTCAGTACCGACGGTCAGTACTGAGTCAGTACCATGTCGGTGTTTAACTCCGTCCTAACTCCGGACATTTCTACTTGGGTGTGTTCTAATTTGAATACAAGCAGAAACTAGAAAAACTAGAAAAATTTCTTGTCTTTCACAAATTCCTTCCGTTTATATATTGTATATTTTCTGTTTAACAAAAGTAATACCATTTAAATAAATAGTACCATTTTGAAAAATAGTTAAAAATAGAAAAAATAATAAAAATCATTATAATTATGATTTTATTTTCGAATCCTTTTTTTTCTAGAATGAAATATTTCTCTCTGATTTTTTTCCCTGTGTGTAGACGAGTATTTTCATTATGCATTCATTAAACATGTGTCATTCACAATATTTTTGTGTTTTATGTATAGACATATATATGTATATATATGTGGACGTCCACATGAAAAGGGCCCATTTTGGCACTATTGGAGTTATCTATATGGGCGTATTCCTGGCAAAATTTGGAAAATTTTTAGTGGTCTTAGAACTTTTTTGGTTCAAAATTCGCTGAGTTGCGGAATTTCAAAGTTTAGAACGCCAAAAACCTCATTTCGAGAAAAACGGAATTAAAGATTGCGATACCAACTAATTGTTGTATCTCTGGTTCTTCTTGGAAGTTATTCAGATAAGAATTGTTTCCAGTTCAGGGCACCTTGAAGATAAAAAGCCAACAGGTTTTAAATTTTTAAAACCATCCCCCCCTCTTAATTTTGAAAATACGAAAAATCGACAATATGGGCCCTTTTCTAAAAAGGACAGTTTTTCTATTAAAAAACCATTTTTTTTACAAGATAAATGATTAGGTACAATTTTATTGTGTCATTTGAAGAAAAGGAATAGATATTAAACTTATTTGAAATTTTTTGACAGTCTCTATTATGAAAAAATTGACGCAATATCCAAATTTTCATTTCGACAATTACGAAAAAAAGACTCCAACATCAATATCTCTGGTTCTTCTGGGAAGTTATTCAGATAATAATTGTTTGTAGTCCAGGACACTTTAAAGATGAAAAATCAAGAGGTTTTAAATTTTTCCACACCTCCATTTTTAAAATGCGGATTACTTTTGCAAATGACCGACAAAATGGGCCCTTTTCATTTTTCTAAAGAACCAATGAAATCAAACAGTTAAATTATCGATAAATTAATGAAAACCGCATGATTCGACTTGTCAAAACATGTAGATTGATAATAAAAAATAAAAAAAAATTAAGATTTTGCTCCAAAATTACTAAATTGCGATTATCTCGAAAACTGGAACCAACAATATGGGCCCTTTTCATGTGGACGTCCACATATTTTAATTTGCCAGGTGTGACAGTGACATAAGCGTATTGTATGATAATAAGAGGATAGTCGATGAATATCCTACGATAATTCCTTTGTTTATATTGTTAGTCACTTTTTTACTCAACACGTCCCGTGTGGAAAAAGCCACGTTCGAGCCCCACAGCTCCGAGGCCCCCGTTGGGGGCCCTCGTGGAAGATCCATGAGGAGAAATCCACGAGGGCACCAGCAGGGGCCCCGTTCTTTACCCTTAAGGTTGCCCTGCTCAAAAATTTATCTAAGTTTAAAAAAAAAATTTTATTAAAAAACTTTAGTTCAGATTGCATTAAATTACATTTCAAAGCACCTAAAATAAACATTAAGTGACATTTTTCCAGAAATCCTATCACAAAGTTATGGAAATTTACGAGGGCACCAGCAGGGCCCCTGCTCTTAGCCATTATGAATGCCCTGCTCAACAATTTTTCTAAGTCCAAACAACGAATATTTTTTACAACAAAACATTATTGTTTACAATCATTTTAAACAATGAAAAACACGTTTTTAACAAATATTTAATGTTACTTTTTAAAAAATATAAAACTTACATAAGGGCAAATCCTTGAGGGCCCACGAGAGGGGCCCTCATGGATTGACCACATTATTAACTAAAAAAAATTTCTAAGTCCAAAAAAAAATTTTTTTTACATCAACAAATTAATGTTTATAATGATTTTAAACAATGAAAAACACGTTTTTCACAAATATTTAATGTTACTTTTTTTGAAAATAATGAACTTACCTAAGGGCAAATCCTTGAGGGCCCACGCGAGGGGCCCTCATGGATTGCCCACATCATTAACTAGAAAAAATTTTTAAGTCCAAAAAAAAATAATTTTTTTTACATCAACAAATTAATGTTTATAATGATTTTAAACTATGAAAAACGTGTTTTTAACACAAATGTTTTGACATTTTTTTTTTTCTTGAAATGATAAAAATATTAATTTATGAATATTTATGGTCTATTATTATATTATTAATATTGTTATTATTATTATTAAACTATTTAATTATTTGTCATGGTGTATTAGTGTTAATAAATAATTTATTGAATCATCAAAAGCAAGTCAGCAAGTCACCTACATTAAAGCAATAATTTTCAAGTAGGTCCCGTAGCATAGTGGTAAGAGTAGTTTATTGCGTTACGTTGTACCAATTTTATGGATGTTATAAAAATAAATAAAAAAAAATTAAAAAAAAAAGTGGTAAGAGTGTTGTCTGGTAGTCAGTAGGTCGTAGGCTCAATTCCCGCGTGCGTCAGATTTTTTTTTTTTGGTCACGATTTAATTAAAAAAAGTAAAAATTGTTAAATAAGAATGTTATTTATGAATAATTGGACTAATTTGTTATTAATAAATAATTAATTTATTAATTTAATTGAAAATAAAGTTGAGGGCATTTTATGAAATCCACGAGGGCACCGCGTGGAAAATCCATATGGAATCCATGAGGATTTTCCTCGAGGGCACCCATGAGGGAAAGCATGTCACGCCTTCGAGGGCTCCGCGTGGATTGCCCCTACGGATTCCACATAGCAAGAGGGCAATCCACGAGGGCCCCGCCGGGGGCCCTCACCATTTTTCTGCACGGGGTGATATAATTTTCTCTCTTATTTCTATAATCAGTTTTCGTTTACAGACACGTTCGTCTACAGATTGTATATATTTCTAATTTTAAATTAAATGTCCCTAAATTTCTGAACGAAATATATTTATTTTCTTCTCTACACCGAAAAAAATGCCTAGGACCCGTATACCAGGAATTGACTAGGTTTCCTAGTTACGAGAGGAGCCAACTATAGAATCTTGGTCAAAGTAATAAGATTCAAGCATAGTTAAAGTGACCAGGAAAATTAGTCGATGTAATCAGGAAAAAATAGTCAAATTGACTACGAGAATAATATTAGATTTACACTGTGTATCATAATTATTTGAAATTTCTAATCAAATTCTTATTATCAAATAAAAGAGAAAAACTAATTAAAAGAAAAAAGAAAAAAATTAATTATCGTATTTGAACATATTTATATTTGACTTTGTATTTATATACCTTAGAATTAATTTAAACTTATGAAATAAATATTTGACGCAGGGGGGACGCGAACACCTGAACCTAACGAATACGCACTTTGAAACCCGGAACGATAACCACTACACTAAACACGACTTGGTATTTTAATTTTTTAATAGACACTAGATTTTCGAGTCAAAATACAATACTTAATCAGATGATGTTTTATACATTTCGAGTACACAATTTTATACACTTGTCAAAAACTATTTATCTTTAATTATTTATGACATTCAAATAAAAATAAATTTAAATACACAAATTAT